TCGTCGTAGTAGTAGTGGTAGTGGTAGTAGTGGTGGTGGTAGTACTAATAATACTATAGTCGTCGTGGTAACGTAGTAGTCGTCGTCGTAGCAGCAGCAGCAGCAGCAGTAGTAGTAGTAGTAGTAGTAGTAGTAGTAGTAGTAGTAGTAGTAGTAGTAGTAGTAGTAGTAGTAGTAGTTGTTGTTGTTGCTGTCGTCGTCGTAGTAGCAGCAGAATCAACATCATACTCGTCGTCGTCAGCAGCATCATCATCATCATCATCTGGAAGTAAGCGTAGGGCATGCTGTCGAAAGTGGCCCAAGCCAGAATCGACTAGCAGAATACGTATGTCTTGCGATCTCGCCTTCTGTCCGACGTTGATCGTTCCAGACACGACCTTGCCGGACACGCTGGTGTTCCTGAGCTCGCAGGTTTAGGGTTTGACTTCGCTGCACCACTACGAACTCGCAGGGAAGTATGGAAGTGGAGTCGAACTTTTGAGGCAATTAGGGTTCAGAGCTTATTTGTTTACGGTCTTCGGGCAAAGCACATTAGAGGGTGAGCCCTAGGACCCCAGCAAGCCCTCCAGTAGTGCCTGGGAGGGTGCGGGTTCGGACACAGGGTTAATGATGTCATCGGCCGAGGGCTTAGGGCTCCTAGGGGAGTTTCCGAAATTAGGGGGTATCTTATTTTGGGGTACTTATGAGAAGGATCCTACTATTCAGGGTACTATACTAGGGTCCCCCATTTTCGGAAACTCCCATATGGGGGTTCGGCCTTCTGATCTTGCACTCAGAGTGCCTGTAGTAACCACGGTAAATGTTGTGTGGCATCGCCATGGGAACCACTTCTGGAAAACCTGATAACAACCCTTACTAGGTCGATTTCAGCAGTCCCCAAAACTATTTATGACCCGTGCTCTACAATCAAACAATAAAAATGGGATATGAACAAGTATCCCAAATCCCCCAAACCCTACCCCGAAACCCTAAACCCCTAAATCGATACCCAAAGTGTAATACTTCAAGGGATGCCGGGCCTCTGATGAAGGCTTCAAGGTTTCCTAAACCCTAAACCCTAAACCCTAAACCCTGTATATCAACTCCCAGGTTTGAGAGTGCAGCCTTTTCGTCTAAGCAAGCCGGGCGTAGGTTTTGGGATGTACTTGGAGGATCAGGGGACTTAGTAAGTCAGGTTAAACGTACCGTAAGTGGGCTTATAAGTGTTTGTTATAAGTATAGTTACCTTACTTATAACCCCAGTTACTAAGTCCCATGATCCTTTAAGTAAGCAGTGTAACCAGGGGCGCGAGGTTTCCGACCATGAGGCTGCATGCTCAAGGCCCTCTTTCACACACGTTTACCAGAAAGTGCTGGTCGTGATCTTTGTAAAAATTCCCAAAGGGTCCTATGTACCGATATAGTCGAATGTAGGGTTTCCATATTAGGAACTTATATTTATGACTTAGGGAAGTATCCCCCATAACAGTACATTGGACCCTTTGGGATTGGGACCTTGGGAAACACCTATGGTCTCCATTGTAGTTTGGTTTAACCAAATATATAATTAGGATCCTATAAGGTATCCCCAAAAAGGAACTACAATGGAGACTACAGGCACTATCCTAGAGCCCTGGGCGACTGTAGAAGCGCGGTCCACGTGTTCTTCCATTGTGCAATGAAGGCCCAAAAGACCATCTCCTGTTGTGGTTTTGAGGGCTTATAGTTCCATAATGGTAGTATATCTGGAGCCTCTGGGATTGCTATGGTTTTGGAGGCATGGACCCACGGAGGTTCGGGTTCAATTTGTAGGCGCTGTGGATTTAAATGTTGTCGTTGTGGGGACGTCGTGAACTGTACCCAATCCGTCTGGAAGGGCGGTGAAGCCCACCCTGTGTCACTAGGGTTTAGGGTTTAGGGGTGCCAGGTTGTATCCTGAACGCTAGACTCTACATGTAGTATTAATCTAAATAGCACACTCCGCACCCGGGACTGCAACTTAAAGCAGCGGGGTTTAGGGTTAAGGGGCTTCCGGCCTTGTGAATGTCTACACAAGGGTTTAACTAGCCTTGTCTCGAAAACGCCATGAAACAAGCCTCAGAAGCCAAACCCACTCAGAGCCCTAAACAACACCTCTAAACCCGAAACCCTAACCCTAGAACCCTAAACCCTAAGCCCTACACCGATTTTGAAGGAAAAATGTGATCCAAGGATCGCCCCAGATCTGTAGACGTCTGAGACACAGAGCCTGCTCTTGGGCTCAGGTGGGTTTAGGGTTTTGGGTGGCCTACGCGCGCAGATCTGCAAGACTTCAGCGGCTCAGCTAAGCAGCCCGAAGGCTCCATGTATCTATAGAGTATATAATTATTGAGACCTTAAAGGGGCTCTGTAAGGCCTACTTAAGTATACTCTTTGGCCTTCAAGTAGTCCCTAGCCTATACAGGTACAGTATACGTGCACATGGACCCATCGGGCTACCGCTCTTCGCTTGGCCCTGCCCTCAACTACTTCAAGGGCCAGGGCAGAAGAGTCTTTACCTAGACCCCCAAAAGTATATAAAATAATGGCCCAAAACCTATAAAGGGCTATTATTCTACATACTTTTGGGGCCCAGGTATGGCACGCTTGAGGAAGGGAGAGCTCAGAATTCTCGAAGGGGGCTTGAGGAGGGCACAGATTCTTGAAGAAATGCGAAAGGAAGTGTTCAGATCTTCTTAGTAAGTGGAGCCATGGGGAACTACTGCCTTTCAGAAGCTCTATAGAACCGTATATAGTTCTCGGAAAGATATCCCAATTAGCCTAAACAAGCCACTCACAACCTAAACCCGGAAAGCCGTCAGTCAAAGAGAAAAAGGAGGGACCCCTAATAAGGACCCCTGGGTATATACCCATAATATAGCCATTATATACCCAGTATATAGCCCATTGTGGGGTAGGGGTCCCTATTAAGGGTCCCTCCTTTTCCCCTTTGAGTCAGATGGCCAGGCTTCAGGAGGTTACGGTTTTGGAGTTTGGTGCTCAGGTTTAGTGTCAAAGCGTTTGGGGCCAAGGTTGGTTCCCAACCCAGAGACTCCAATAACTCCAATATGCCTTAAGTAAGGAATATTCCTTAAATTCTGGTAGGACCCCTTATATGATTTAAGGTATATTCCTTAATTAAGGGATATTGGAGTCTCTGGGAAGCTCAGGGTCCAGGGCTTGGTCTTGGAGCTGCCGGTTCAGTGTGCTGAAGGTTCTCAAAACCGACTAGTCGGGTCTCATGGGGAACTAAAGATTAACAATTTTTGGTTATATAGGGATTATATAGGGACTATACTAACCCCAAAAATAAAAGGTTAAAGGTTACCTACTCCACTACTAGGAAAATGTGGCTTCAGAGCCTCACAGAGTTTCCCTGCAGCCAGAGGACAGCAAACCGAGAAATGATCCGGACCGTGGAGCAACGGTTTAGGGTTTAGGGGTTTGGGGTTTAGGACTCCCCAGAGACTCCAATATCCCTTAATTAAGGAATATACCTTAAATCATATAAGGGATCCGACCATAATTTAAGGAATATTCCTTAATTAAGGCATATTGGAGTCTCTGGGTCCCTATTGTAGGACTTAAGGGCCTATTAGGTATCAACACTGCCTTTCCTTCTTCGGCACGGAACTGGAATCCCATGGGTTTCGGCTGGAATGGTTTCTGGGTACAAGGATACAGTATACCGGCTGTGAAGTTTAAACTAAACTGCGTGGATATTGAGAGGGGGCATGTCATTCTACACCCTATCTATAGAAGGCACGCCCAATTCTGGAACCATCCGCAGAGAAAAGATTGGACAACTACGGGGGGGACACACGACGTCTCAACAGGCAATTCCGTCTAAGAGCCACCAAGAGGGACATCGTTAAATCCTAAGCTCCAGCATTCCTGAATTCCTGCAAGGCAGACTGTACACCCTGGAGCATGCCCAGCACGTGCCTACATGTCCCGACAGACAGAACCTCTTTTTTGTTTGGGAAAACCCATGCGCAGCTGCAACATCATTTGTTCGGTACTTTCTGGATATGTGTTTAGATTTTATAGTGTTGTCGTGTGTCTGTGGCGGTTTCGCTTGGCTTCCTTGTTGTGTCCCAGATCACGGTTTAAGGTCCTCTCGGCAAGACACTTACCTTTGGTTAATAAGGAATGGAAGAATGCTAGTAATAGTAGTTATAATTGCACCCCATTCCTCCATTCCCTACTAGCCAAACCCTAAACCTTAATCCCTTAACCCTTAAACCCTAAACCCTCCAACCCTAAACAGAAACCCCTGAAACACGGTGCGCCTGGTGGGTGCTGTGGTTGGCGGACGAGGCGGTGGAGGCAACTGATCCAGCGCCTGCAGCCAAGGAACTTCCGGCCTGTGAGCCCTAAACCCTAAAACCTAACGGCCTTTCGTACAGTTAGGGCTTGCGGTTCTTTGTCGAGAGGGCTGAAAGCGAGGCTGATAATATTTGCTGAGGTTAAGGCTAAAAGTTTCAACAAACTTTGATTCTCAATGATTTTAGGGTTTGGGGGTTGCGGGTTTCGAATTTGCGACAAGAGTTGTCATAAGGACCCTTAGGGGGGTTAGGGGACCTTAATACCGATAGATGGACTTTCCAAGGCCTATTTAAGGAAGTACAGTCCGTCCCTATGAAGTTGTTTAGGAGTTAGGGTTTCGGGAAGGGTCTCAGCTCCGTCTACTCCTCACGGGGAGCTCATCTCTACTGAAAGGTTTAAGGTTTCGGGATTTATAAGCATTAACATTAGGATTAAGGGCACACCCGCTGGACCAAACCCTAAACACATGCAGAGTCTCTTTTCGCCACTGCTTTTTGCATCACGCCGCATCTTTAGCTTTGGGACCTCGAGACACGAACAGAAACGCCATGAGGGTCTCTACAGCTGATCCTGGCTAGAGGTTGAGGCTCTAAACCCTAAACCCCAAATTAAGCCCTAAAGCCTGCCTCTGGATTTAGAGTAGAAAGAGCACATGTGCATGTCGGTGCGCAGCTTCACGCAGTGAGCTCGAACATGGCCGGCCCTTCTTCCTCAGCGTCTTTGAGGCGGCTACTATCCTTAAGGACGACATGAACCCTAAAAGGGTTTAAGGTTCATATACCATACTCATATACCATATAGAGATTCATAGTGTATGGGTATAGGGCCCCTACTTTTAAGAGTCATTTGGTCCTTCAGGATAGGGCCTTACTGACTTGACTGGGGTTGTGTGTTTGTGTGTAAGGGGCGGAAGGTGGAGGGAAAGGATTATTGCATTCGCAGTCTCACACCCCACAGAATAGGCATCAAGAGCAGATTTTTGAAGCCCTAAAGTGGAGCTGCTCGAAACTCGCAACCCAAAGTAGAAGCCAGAAAGTTGGAACATCATTACCCTTATGCCCTGAGGGTACTGTATAGGGAATCCCAACACTAATCCTCCTCCGTTCATTTTCCAACTTTCTGGGGTTCACTTTCAACCCTGAACCCTACTCTCCTAATCACCCAGAACCCTAGACCCCAAAGTGTGAAAGAGCCCCTTTTTTGCCCAGCTACCCGGAACTTGAAAGACACTAACTCCTAAACTGTGAACCCTAAACTCTAGGCCCTCAAGGCACCCGGAACTTGAAGGAGAACCCTAAAACCCTAGACCCTAAAACCCTAAACTCTATCGGAGCCCCTTTTCGCCCAGCCACCCGGAACTTGAAGGAGACCTTGAAGAAACCCTAAGCCCTAAACACCTAAACCCCTAAACCCTAAACCCCTAAACCCCAAACCCTAAACCCCTAAACCCTAAACTCATCTAAACTCTAAGCCCCTTTTTTGGCCCAGCCACTCGAAAATTGAAGGGGTTCCCTTAAAGGGATCGATAAGGGGTCTATAAAGGGCCTATAACCCCTCTTTTTGCCCAGATGCCCGGAACAAACCCTAAACCCTAAACCCTAATCCCCAAACCCTGGCCCAGCCACCCGGAACTTGAAGGAGACCTTGAAGGGCAGCTTCCGGCTGCCGGCCTTCAGCGCCCGCCTCGCCAGCTCCTGGCTCTTTCTCTGCTTCCTCAAAAGGCGAAAAGAAAGTAGTAAGTTAGATCGTCTGTGTACATATAAAATGTATATAACTATAACATATATATATATATATATATATGTATATATATATACACACACATATGTATACATGTGTACATGTGTCTGTGTGTGTGTCTACACGGACATGGATATGTTCATGAGAGAAGACAAAAGCTGTAACTGAAACAAAGGAATATTACAAGTGTACTGGCGCATCTCTCTCTCTCTCTCTCTCTCTATATATATATATATATATATATATATGTGTGCATGCATGTATGTCTGCATGGGTATATATGTATATATAATTTCTGATATATCTGCATGTACCTGTATGTACATGCCACCATCCATCCATCCATCCATCCATCCATCCATCCATCCATCCACACGCATACTTCCTCACGAGGTTACTCCTTTTTGTTCGAGGGTTCGATATCTATTGCTTTGGCTTTGAAGGCTTGCGCTTCATGGCTCTAAGGGGCCATGAATTGATGTAGGGGCTTTAATGATTGGAACACGGTTTTGGGCTCCATTCTGCTGTCACTATCTAAATAATTCCAAGGCATAATTTCAGCGACATTTAGGCTTCTATTACCGGCCTGGAACTTCTCTAAGGACGTGATGCCCGTTGTTGGAAAGGTTAAGGCGGAGGTGACGTTCAGGGTTTAAGGTGCTTGCGGCAGCTTAGACAAACCCAAGAGATGGGGCAAGTGTTTGATCGCGATCTCTCCGAAATCAGTAAGTGGGAGTTTCCGAAAATCAGGGTTACCTTATTTTGGGATCCTTCTAGCAAAGATCCTACTATCTAGGGTACTATGTTAGGGTCCCCTATTTTCGGAAACTCCCACATCTCTGAACCTAAACCATCCTAAACCCTATAAACCCTACTGCAAGGACGACCTTGCCGGCCAGACCCGTCTCTTGCTTCAGCACGCTAAGGTTGCTACCCCAGCTCGGAACTGTTGGGAGGGTTGCTCGGAGCAAAGGCCCCAAAGGCTAAGTGGCTACAGAACGCACAGCCTGAGACTCCCAAACTTAAAAAATCAGTCATAATAAGTTATAATGATCTGAAGAGCCCCTATACATCATCATAAAATCGACTCCCCCTATAGTTCATACAACAAGGATCCGCCTATTGTTCGAGGTACATTCCTTCATTAAGAGTTTTTTGGAGTCTCTGGGTTGTAGGCTGCAAGAAAGCCCTAGTTAAGTCTGAGCAATCTGTCACATCAAAGCTTTAACATGCTAAGTCACTGGCATATTTACCCCATGAAGGCACCTGTCACATCTCCCCAACACCACGATCACGATTTAGAGGTGTGGTGTTGACTTAAGGCATGAGTCTCCTCGGACTCCACGTCCAGCTCGAAGATAACCACTCCAGGTTTCCTTATGGCTTTTTCACTAGCGGCCAAATTACCTAAACCCTGAAACACTATATAGTTCAGGTTGATCGTTATGGGTACATGGCCAGGGCTGCGTGGGCGCACTCTCTGCCGATAAGTTGAGAGAGTTAACCCCAAGGGTCCAAAAAAACCCAATCATTAGGTACTCGGTTTTAGGATAGTAGTTATGTAGGTTACGTAGGATTTTGGAGAGTATATGATTGTTAGATACTTGGACCCATGGGGTAAGACCTGTGAACTGGGCCCCCAAGCACTGTTGCGCGCCGAGGGCTTCCGGATTGGAGCGCACGAACTAACTTGGGCCGTTATCCCCAAAACCGTGCCTCCTTTTAAATTAAAAGGAACCATGAGGAACCTTTAAAGGAACCCTTTAAGCTACCCTTTAAAGGAACCCCAGGCCCGAAGACCAGAACAAAGCCTAAGGCCATAAACCCACCAGCACATGCACCTAACGCTTCTTTCCCGTAGTTTGTGTTCCTGGGCAAGTCCGAGAGGGAACGAAGATTCACTTGCACTTGAGCTACTAGCCGAGCTACTATCAAGCGCGTAGCCTAATTTGTATTGGTGAGATGCCACCAGAGATGCTGGGTTTAGGGTTGCAGACTCGTAAACTAGATGTCAAAAGCTGGCGCTCCATGTTCAACCAAGTGGCAGTGCTGCAACCCAATACTCGAACCTGCCCTTGCTGGCACCTGTGCGGCTATCCGCGATCCTGGCAAGGCCATCGGCATCAAATCGACCCGCTCACCACCCCCGGAGACTCCAATATTCCTGAATTAGGGAATATACCTTAAATCCTATTAAGAATCCTACTATAACTTAAGGTGTATATATATATATATATATATATATCTACATATATATATATATATATATATATATTCCTTAATTAAGCGATATTGGAGTCTCTGGGAACCCCAACACTCCTCGCTCCAGGCACCTTCAAGGTATAGGGAAGTGTGTTCTGTGAGGGATTCTATACTGAACTTAGAACCCTAGCAAAAATCATATTTTAGCTGTTTCTTAGGGACTATAATAACCAGCAATTGAAAGTCTATTTCCAAGTACCCCTAAGGATCCTCTGCCACCCACTTCGCCGTAGGATCTTGGTTTGCTGCATTCCTTGCGACTAAAGAATGAAGGGTCCAACCTCCAGGGTCTAGGCCAGCGGCTGCCTTTGCCGTAACTACATTGAAATGAACAGGAAGGAACCCGAAACCCCTACACCCTAAAACTTAAACCCTGAACCCGAGCACCCTGAAGGCTAAAAGCAGCGTTCTGGATGATATTACAGGGGCCTTTATAATGCAGGTACATGGCACCTGCGATCGCGATGATGCTATCTTGCTTGCATGAAACTTCCGCTTTCAGAACCTGGCCAGGTACATGACACTGAACGACGCAGAGGTTGCAGATCTTGAGTCTACTCCGGGTAGCCCTTTGTGAGTGCCCTGGGATTGCCCAATGAAGCCTCGGTTCATGAAAACCAAGTACGAACTCATGACCACCCAGAGACTCCAATATCCCTTAATTAAGGAATATTCCTTAAATGATGGTAGGATCCCTTATATGATTTAAGGTATATTCCTTAATTAAGGGATATTGGAGTCTCTAGGCACACTAGGCCCCAATCCCTCCAAGCCCCAACGTAAGCTGAAGGCCACTACGCTCTCAAAGCCGCCCAGAACCCCCAAACCCTAAGCCGAAAGGGTCCTAGGTACTGTCAAGGGGGATACATTACGGGATCCTCCCTTTAAGGATTCCTTTCGGGGATCTAGAGGGGTACTGTTAAGGGGATTGACTTCCAAAAATCATTAGGGTTTAGGGTTTAGGGTTTAGGGTTTCCTATTATGTAGAAACCCTACATTCTACCATGCGACCCTATGGGAAATTTTTAACTTGGAACCCGCGCAGGCCCATTTTTAGGGGAAGCCCTTTCAGGAGCCCTTCCGGGAACCACCCGCCAGCACCCAAAACAAGGTACCTGTATAATATTTAGTGATCTTGGACACAAACACATACAAGAAAGCCTTGAAGGCAAACAAAAACATAGAACTTATAGCTACATTGTTACATGGACCGCGAGGAAACGCTTCAGGTCCGGGGTTTGAAACTGTATCCTCGACCCGCAACTAAACCCTCCAGTCCTCTGCGTGATAGCATTGTGCGGATAAACGCGAAGGTAAACCTGGAAAGGGCAGGCACGTGGCCCGAACCAGGTGGGGTAGGGTCTTCTAGGGCTCACGGAATGGGGTTAGGAAGTACGTAAACCTGGACCTGAACCTTCATCATACGCCAAGGCCAAAGCTACAGGCTGAAGGGGTTCTAGCTTGGAACAGTCTGCGGCTGGAGGGAATCTGACACGGGAACGCAGCTTGAAAGGGTCTAGGGGTGTAATGGTGAAGGGTCTAGGCTTCGGCAGGAAGTGAACTGAATTGAACCAACGAGCAACGCCACTGCCGATGTACAAGAGTTCGGGCTTTGGGAATGCTGGCTCGTGATTGTCAACAAAGACTACCAATTTTCTTCTTCTCGGGCTAACCAAAGGTAAGACTACCCCTATAGATCCCATTATAAGGAACCCCTATAGATCCCTTTAAGGAGCCCTATAGATCCCTTTAAGGAAGCATTCCCTACCATCATGAAAAGTGTTTGCCTCCGTTCAAGCACTTTGCCTTCCCCTGCCGCCTGATGGCATCAGTCGATCGATCAATAAATACGAAGCTAGCTAGGTTCAAAGGGGAAAGGGATGGACCCTTAATGGGGACCCCTACCCTATAATGGGCCATATAATGGGTATATAATGGCTATATTAAGGGTATATACCTAGGGGTCCTTAGTAAGGGTCCCTCCTCTTACCCTTGGATAGATATGCCCAAAGCCCAGCACCCCTAACCCATCCCAACCCCAAAATCCAGAAGCTAAGCCACCAAAACCCGAATACCAAACCCTGAACCCCATGCCCGAAACTTTCCAACCCTTCACATCCTAAACCCCAAACCCCAAACCCTAAACCCCAAACCCTATAAACCTTAAACCCCAAATCCTAAACCCCAGACCCTAAACCCTAAATCCTAAACCCCAAACCCGATAAAGCAAACCAGCTCGGGCCAATCCTTGGCAGTGCGACTCGTTGCGCGCACGATCTCGCGCCTGGCGTCCTCAAGCTGCTTGCTGGTCACCCAGCACAGCTCCTGGCTTGAAACACCCTAACTCAGTTCTAAACCCTAAACGCGAGTTAAGCTCTAAACCCTAAGCCTTGATTAAACCCTAAACCCTATAAGCCCTATACCACGGACTTCTAAGATTCCTGGTCTCTGTACCTGAACCCTCAACCTCTACCGCAGGGGGGCTTGTGACTCTTTTCGTGAGTGGTCTCGAGGGCTTGGGGTTCGGGACCTATAACTACCGGGGGCGACCCCCTACATAGTCCCACTCCCTATACAAGCCCCTACAAGCCTACGCCTTCAGACATTAATCCTAAGCCCTGTAACCTCCAAACACCTAAACCTTGGAAAGATCAACACCAAAGCCCCTCAAACAGAGATCCAACCAAACCTTTGACCCAAACTCGTGCATAAAACTCTGGGCCTCCATCTGCCCTTAAGTAACAGGCCTTAAGTGCCTGTAATTCCCGGCTACATACCCCTGTTTGATGGTATGAGGAGGGTCCTAGTAAACTCGAAACCTAGGCTCCCTTGCTTAAATCCTAAACCCTAAACCTCAACGCTGCACCGGGATCTGCCACACCCGAGATCCTATGCCTGAAGCCTTCATATCCCCCAAACCCCAATTCGCAAAAATCCTACGTACTACCTGGACCGCAACACCCTAAACCCTAAACCCCGACCCATTATTTTACCTGCTTTGGGCGGGTTGGGGTAAGGCCTCCAACAAAAACACCCTGTAAACGCTCTATGAAGCCTATGAAGCCTTTATACAACCCAACAAACCCTTCAGTACCACAGGTAATGTAGGGGCCTGAATAAGTAGAATAGAGTAACAATAGGTGTATAGTATACTAGAAACTATAATGGGGAGCCCCGACAACCCTATTCGAATTATTCAGGCCCCTGTATCATGGAACCCTACTATAGATCCCTTGTAGACCCCTTTAAGGAACCCTTTAAAGGAACCCTATTCTAATTATTAAGACCCTTACAGTAGTTCTTTTCAATATACTTGGAGGTTCATGGGACTTAATAAGTCAGGATATAAGTACCTTAATTGGGGTTATAAGTAGTTAAGTATAGTTACCTTATAACCTCAGCTACTAAGTCCGATGATTCTTTTAAGTACGAGGGCCTTTGCCATGAGCGCGAACTTTGCGAACTGAGGTCTGGATTTCATCGGCTCATCGTCAGGGAACCTGCCCGACCCGGACCCCTGGGAGGATCCAAAAAAGTAGATCCCTTAATGGGGGGTTCCTATAAATAGCCTGTTCAGTAACCCACTGGGAAAAGTATCAAATTTTATTTTATAATAGGAACCCAGAAACCTGAAAGTAAAAAAGTGTACCACTGAACAGCCTGGTAAAGTAGCCTTAGTAGTACAGAGCCCCAAGTTAGGGGATCTACGGATTCATATAAGGAACCCTAATAAAGGCCCAAGGTTTTCTAATCAGGTTCCTACATTAACTTAGAGGGTCTTTAGTCTGAAAAAAAAACGCAGACGCGCCTAGATCATCTCTAAACTCGATCCCTAAGGCTTTATCAACCTCAGCCTTAGTCCCCACTAGAACCATACTTGCAGGCTCATGGGACTTAGTAAGTAAGGTTATAAGTAGGTTATAATCAGGACGACCCCACTTAGGGGACCTATAACTTACTAAGTCCCATGATCCTCTAAGTAGGAAATAAAACTCTAACCCCCCCGAGCTCCAAGACCCCAAGCCCTCAGACCCTGTAAACCCGAGGAGCATTACACACATCCCAGAGAGACTGAAACTCTGAACCTTTGCAAACGTTCCTGAGTAGCCCCTTTATAAATGGATACCCTTTTTCCTACTATTCTAAGTAAATTGGAAACCCTACAGTAAAAAGGGCAAAAGGGTATTGCTTAGGAACCTAGAGGTTTAGGGTAACATTAAACTGATTGCACGCTGAAAACCTGAAGCCAAGTTCCCGTCCGCACCACCCAGAGATGCGAAATCCATTAAATGAGGAACACACATGAATTACAATAAGGATCTAGCTTATAGTTTTAAGGGCTGTAATTATCCTCTAAGTAACTAATGTAAAGGGTTTTGGAGTCTCAGGGCACATCTTGCTATCTGTCTAAATTCCAAAACACTGTGGTAGCCTTGCCGTAGCCACCTCTTGTGACAGCTTTTAAACAGCACCCGCCCCGAAAACGGAACAAAAACTGAGTGAAGCATCCTACACCCTAAACCCTGCAGCCAAGCACCTCTTGTGGTCTGGTCGTTCCGGCTTGATCCGGGGTTTGAAGGGCTTGCGCCAGTCTTTTAGCTGTGGGACCAAAACCTGGCGACTGACCTGAGCGAAGCGTGCCTTTGACTTACCTTTGGTTAGTAGGGAATGGAGGAATGGGGTACAATTACAAGTACCATTACTACCATTCTTCCATTCCCTACTATCCAAAGGTAAGTTGAAAGCTTCTTGAAGGGTTTCCTTGGAAGTCTGTCCTTTTTTTCAGGGTTCCTATACGGCTTCTGATCGTCAGCGCTTTCTTTGCAGGTTCCAGTAAGCTTCTATAAGGGTTTAGGGTTTGGGATTTGGGGCTTGGTGTTGAAGTTATTGAATTGGGGGCCGTTTCTTGATGTGTGGGATGGGCATGCTTAAAGCGTTTATGATTGCTGTAAGCGCACAAGTACCTATGTAGCATGCACCTTGGTCCTTGTAGGTACCTGAAGGCCAACATATATCTGTGCTGTATAATTATAAGTGTAAGGACCCTTAGGGCTTGATCTTTGTAGGCGTGGCGTGATCATTCAAAGGGGAAAAGGAGGGACCCTTAATGGGGACCCCTACCCTGTAATCGGGCTGTATAATGGGCATATAATATCTATATTAAGGGTATATACCTAGGGGGTCCTTATTAAGGGTCCCTCCTTTTACCCTTGGAATCATGGCTGTTGTTCATGCTTGCCTGGACATGATGATGACCTCGCCGCTGATCTGATAACTGCAGGCATCAGCGTAAATATGACAAGTGCACAGACAAGAAGAACGAGACAAAGCTAGCCCTCCTCTTCTCCCCTAAGGTTCCATGTACCCATATAGTATATACTTAGGCCTTAAAGGGGCTACTATATAGGTACTTTAAGGCCTAAGTGTATGCTATATGGCCACATGGAGCCTTGGGGTCCTTCTACCCTAAACCCTACACCCTAAACCCCTAAACCATAAATCCCTAAACCCTAAACCCCTAAACCATAAATCCCTAAACCCTAAACCCCTAAACCATATGGCTACATGGAGCCTTCGGGCTCCTACCCTGCACTCGAACCCCTCGACTTCTCTCGCCTTTGGGACGCTTGCTTACATGGGAGTTTCCGAAAACAGGGGGGACCCTAATATAGTAATATAGGATCCTTACTATAAGGACCCCAAAGTAAGGTACCCCTAATTTTCGGAAACTCTAAACCCTAAACCCCTTATAGAAACCTTATAGATCCCTTTAAAGGAACCCTAAAGGATCCCTTTAATTTAAAGGACCCCTAATTTTCGGAAACGCCCACATGAAATCCAGGCAGAGTTGCGGTGGGAGTCCTTGCCGACCGCTCGCGGGAGGCGCCCACAACTAGGCTGCTCATCTTTGGTCATCCAAGCAGCAAAGAAAGCTTCGTAGAGTTGAAACAAGGGTTTAGGGGCTTAGGGATTTAGGGTTTAGGGTTTAGGTTTAGAGTCCCCAAGCTCAGCTCTGCGCCTAAACAGGAAATCTCTGCACCCCTTAGACCCCGATCTACGGATCATGGGACTTAGTAAGTCAGGTTATAAGTACCTTCAGTGGGCTTATAAGTGGTCATAAGTATATAGCTACCTTATCTATAACCCCAGATACTAAGCCCCATGATTCTTTAAGTAGACCCGAAAACACCCCTTATAGAACCCTAATAGATCCCTCTAAAGGAGCCCTTTAAGGAACCCCAGTTACTAAGTCCCCCATGGATCCTTTAAGTAGAGGCGGTGGGGGACGCCAGGCTTCGTGGGATGTAGAGCCGAGGCTTTCGGGCCTTGTGGCTTTCAGACCAAAAGTTTAAGTTTTTTGTTTAGGGTTTAGGGTTTAGGGTTTAGGGTTCAGGGTTCAGGGTTTAGGGTTTAGGGTTTAGGGTTTAGGGTTCAGTATATAGGGTTCAGGGTTTAGGAGTTAGGGTTTAAGATTCTAGACCCAAGAGTAACCTAGGAATCAGAAGGGTGCCCTTTTTGGTTTAAAGGGGCTTGATAGGGAACCAGAACCCTAAAAAAGGGAATAAGGGCTTACTCTGGGTCCTTGTTTGTTAAAAAAAAAAAGCTACTTTTTCCAGGGGGGCGACAGTTTGCAGCATCCTACAGGTTTGGGGGGGTTTAGGGTTTACAAAAACCTCCAAGGACACCGTTTTCGAAGGGTTTTTGAGCCCACCAGCACCCCCCAAGTACCCTTTAATAGAGCCCGGATGGTCCTTAATGGTTGATATCTAGGGTATGATACAGGGTCTTTGAAAGGTTTTTGAGCCCAAAGACCATATCCTGCTAGACCTAAGAGTAACCTGGGAACAAAAAGGCTGGTCTAAAAGGGCTTATAAAGGACCTGAGCCCTTAAAAGGGGATAAGGGCCTTTTTAGGGTTTAAGGATTAGGGTTCCTTTTCGGGTTTAGGGATTAGGGTTCCTTTTAGGGTTTGGGGGTCAGGGTTTAGGGTTTTTTGGCTTAGGGTTCAGGGGAAGGCTGAGGGGTCCTCCTGGATGTAATGTCGGTGCCTTGGCAGTCAGAATGAGGCACTAGTGAATTTTGCAAGATTCCGTAGGAGCCCCGAGGTGGGCAATGTTCGGTATACGAGGGCCTTTCCTCACACAAAGCTTCCATGTCTACCTTAAGCTGCAATATCCTATTTGTTTGCGAAGTCTGACTTAAAGTCTAAGCCGCTAGACCCCAATCTATGAACCGTAAACCCTAAACCCTAAACCCCTAAACCCTAAACCCCTAAACCGTGGACCCCAATCTATGAATCAATCTGGAACCCAGATCCGGAACTCTCAAACGATTGTACAAACCTTTAAAATGACTCTCGGGAGCCCTTTAGAATTTAGACAGTGATATTGCTTTGAGAACCAGTATCGGGAACTATAGAAGCCACTAGGAACTCTCATGTGCCCTTAGAATGCGCTCCCAAGTATACCTGTATATAGTCTCCGTTGTAGTTCCCTCTTGGTTAACCCAATTTATAGTATAGCATCCTAACCATATAACCAGCATAGGGTCAAGTCTGGGGGGGTCTGCCTCGGCACCGGTCAATCCAGACCTTTTCGCTGGGTCTGGATAGCAGAGGCCCGAGTGCTGTGATTCAAAACGCTGGAGCAATCCAGACCCCGCGGCCAAAACACAGTTCAGACCCCAAGAGATCTCCAACCCCTGGATACACATACTGTTTGTGCCGGTTTCGGGCTCGATGCGGGAAGTCAGTGGCACTGATGAGTTTCTGTTCCGGCTGTCTCAAATTGTCTGTCTTGACGCATGATATTTTGAGTTTGGGGTGGGTTGGGGGCATCCTGGGGATCTTCTTGGCGATGCTTGCGGAATAGCAGCTTCCGGAAACAACAGCATTGAAAACCCGCCAACCCGTTCGCCCCATCCCCTAATGGAGACGTCGGGTAGGAGGGTTTCCGCAGGCGTTTGGACGCCGTTCTTTTGCTAAAATAAGGCCACAGACACTCTTCTCCAAAAGAACCGTCTGCTTGGGTTACCGGTGCCGTGCTCAGGCCAGGACACCTTGGTATCCACCATGTTTCTTGTGGAGGGGGGGGCGAAAAAGGTAAACTTCATTTACTGACATCCCCCTATGTGCTCCGCATGCTGTCAGGCACAAGAAATGAAAGATGCGCTTCTTGAACGTTCTTTGGCTTCCCCCGTATAGGTCGTCTGACTGTCGGGCACGTGCACCATCAGGCATGGTACTCCTGAAGTGTGGGTGCCAAGTTCATTTCGAGCCACAATCTCTGGGGAGGGTTTCTGGTTTCAGGGTTTTTTCGGGCTTCTGGGTTGATGTTTCTGTTTATATAGGGCTTCTGGGCTTCGAATTTCTGGGTCCAGGGTTTGGTGTTTCTGGGTTTAATACAAGGCTTCTGGGCTTAGAGTTTCTATTCAAGGTTTCTGGATGTTTCTGGTTTTCTGGCTTCAGCGGTTTAGGGTTTCTGGGTTCAAGGGTTCTGGGTACAAGGCATGTGGGCTTAACGTTTCTGGATGTTTCTGGGTTTTGTAGCGCCTCTGGGTAGCACTAGCAGTAGCATTAGCGCAGCAGCGGTAACAGTGGCCGTAACAGCAGTAGTAGCAGTTGCCGTCGGCGTAGCAGAAGGAGTAGTCACAGTTGCCGCTGCCGTAGCCGTAGCCGTGCAGCTCGCATAGCCGCAGCCGCAGGTGTAGCAGTAGAAACAGCAACAGCCGGAACGCGACCCGTTCCCCCCCTCGCTCTTTTCTACTGTTGGGACTTGGGTGAGTCAAAAGAGTTTACGACGTTAACCGCAGGCGCTACAGCGTGCCGAGAAGGGCCGCGACCCGTTCCCCCCCCTGCCCCCGCCCCAGCTTCGCAGACCCCCTTGGGACCGGTTTGGTGGCCGGGCGACCCGTTCCCGCCGTCCATGACTGTGGCCGATATCTCGTCGAGCTTTGTTGGTGCGCAGTTTCTGGGTGGGGGTTGTCTGGCTTCAGGCTTCTTGGTTTGAGGTTTCTGGGTTTGTGGTTTCTGGCTTCAGGGTTTAGTGTCCCTGAACTTTGGGGTTGCTGGGTTTAGGATTCTGGGTTTCACGGTTTCTGGTTTTGGGGTTTCGGGGTTTGGGGTTTCTGGCTTCAGGGTTTCTGGGTTTGGGGTTGCTGGGTTTGGGGTTTTCTGGGTTGGGGGTTCTTGGCTTCACAGTTTCTTGTTTTGGGGTTTCTGGGTTCGGGTTCTGGGCTTGGGGTTCTCGGGCTTCAGGGTTTCTTGTTTCGGGGCGTCTGGGTTTAGGATTTCTGGGTTTGGGTTTCTTGGCTCCACGGTTTCTGGTTTGAGGGTTTTCCGGGTTTGGGGTTGCTGGGTTTAGGATTCTGGGGTTCCGGTTTCTGGTCTTGGGTTGCCGGGTTTAGGATTTATGGGTTTGGGGTTTCTGGCCTCAGGGTTTCTGGGTTTGGGGTCGTTGCGTTTGAAGTTTCTGGATGGAACAGATCTCCACATCGCCCCCGATCTGCCACCCGGTTGCTGACGAGGACTTGGCCAGGCCCGTCAAGCAATGCTATTCTGCAACCCCCCCCCACCCCCCGCCGCCACGCGATGTCGGGCGGTGTGTCATTTCTTCTGCATGTTTTGTATGCAAAGTTACTGCGTTTTTTTGGGGGGTCTGGATTGACCCTGCCGGGGGTCTGGATTGGTCCCAGACCCACTTCAGACCTTCGGCCTATTTGGTCTGCAGACCGGGGTCTGAAGTCCCCTCCCAACTTGAGGGGATTAACCAGCCGACTAAAAAAGGAACTACAACGGAGACTATAGGTCGATCTCAACCCCTAAACCCTAAACCCTCCAAGTATAGAACCCTCCATGGCCCAAGGCGCAAGCGCCCAGGGAGATCACGGCTGACACCAAGCTCACGGCGTAGGCACCCCGGGGTGCGGGGGTGGGCGTAGGCTGCCTTAGCTTGCCAGAGACTCCGACAGCCCAAGAAATGAGGAATGTAGTTTCCCTACGGGTCCAAGTGGTCCTTGTTTATTAAATACTTCTGGCACCCCAAAATGACCTGAAGTCCTATAACAATGAGTACTTGGACCCTTAGGGTCTGTTCAAGGGATTTATAAGAGAGAGGAACATCAGACCGTATCCTCACATAAAGCTCTGGATGCGTCATGTACGGTACGAGTACATTTACCAATTGAGGGGTTTTGCACAATCCGGGCCCTATGTAAAGGACTGTACCAAACCCCGAGAAGCCCAGGTACGCTACCTTGCAACCTACGAAAAACCTATTTTCATGCAGGGTCCATCAGTGTTTCTATCATAAAGAATGCCAAGACCCTGCAAACAAGTGGGTTCGTGTGACCCCTGAAACGACAAGCCAACATCGGCTGACTGGATGTCGGTGCAGGCGCCGCGGGCTTTGCTTTATGTGAATGTGTGGCATGAAGCTTATCCAGAAGAGTGTGCGAGGCACACCGATCGCTTGAGAATGCGGGATTTAGGGTTTCGGGTTTAGGGTTTAGGGATTGATATCTTCAGTTCCTGTTCGGGTTGAGGCATAGGCATCATCACGCAGTGGTAGTATCAACCCCTAGACCCTAAACCCCTAAACCCTACTTAGTTGCTGAGTTCATAAGCCCCCCAAAAGTGTAGACTTTCAGTTTTATAGTGGGTAGTATTATCCCAAGAAAGTGTAAAGAGTATCCACTCGGCTACTAAGCCTACTTAAGGAGGGGCAGGGGACTTAGCAAGTAGGTTATAAGTAGAGTTATAAGTACCCTAAATGGAGTTACCCCAATTGTAACCCTACTTATAAACGACTTACTAAGTCCCCTGCCCTTCCAAGTAACCCCTAAGCCTATGCTGGTCCGAATGCTAGGCGCAGCAAGGCCCAAAAGGTGCACACCGAAAAGGAGGATCTTTACCATATGGTTCCCTGAATAAGGTGCAGTACGTCTAGAGATCCTCACTTGGTTTTATGTGCATATATATATATATTTATTTATTTAGATGTACATATCGATATCGCGGCCTGGTCATTACAACAGCTCTTTGGGGGTCAAGTATACCATAGTCTCATACAGTAGCATCAAATCAAAGTGCAAACAAAACCTGGCAAAACATGTCAGCAAAGACCTGTCGTCACTCATAGCTCGCGATTTCCCCAAACCAGGCGCGCCAGAACTGAAAACCAGCGACAGAAGCCTGCAGTATGGCTTCAAGAAAACCTGAAAACCCCGAAACCACCAAACTCCACGGACTCGCCACATCTCGTCACCATGGGGCAAGCTTGAGGAATATACCTAAAGCCTAACCCCTAAACCCGACGATGTCCGAGTCTTTTAAGTCCTAACCTTTTGGCCGACTAAGGGCCTAGCGAGGCATATTAGACTCAGGTGTGTTGGATGCTAAGTTCAAGTACGACAAATTCGTTTAGGCTAAACCCAAACCAGTAATCCCTGAACAGGAGGTCGCCGCGTGGCAGAGGTCGCGATGAACGTGGAGGTGCCGACACTGCAGCCGCGAATTGGGAGCCGGCAGAGGCAGACGCGGCCCACATTGCCGCCATGTTGCGAGAGGCGTAGGCCAGGTAATCTTTGCCGTCTATACCATTGTACAAGATATACCACAGAAAACCGGGACCCTGGCCGAAAAAATCTTGATGCTGCCTGAAGTGTCTGTCACTGAACCCAAAAGATAGATATCTAGAGGCTCATATGTAGCTCTCCCTGCTTTCCTTCGCAAGATGAACCTCAGCAGTCAAGGACCTGCTACCCCACTTCTAGGATGCCCAGTAGCGTAGGAATAAAAAGGATCTCTTTTTGGTATTGGGAAACTTTTATAAGGAACCCTAGGACTACAAGAAGGGAATAAGGGTACTACTGGGCATCCTAGACGTCAACCCGGAAGCTGATGCACGACTAGGGTGGCGTTAACAAGTATACGAGTCTATAACTTTTTTTTTATGGGGGCTTATGTGCGGGACACTATCCAAGTGCAGGGAGCTAAAAAACCAAAGTACTGCCTCAAAGTTTAGTATATAATTGGGGGTCTGGGGTGTAAGATGTTTTAAGTACTTGGGTTAATCAACACATAGGGGATATGTCGACGAGTCTTTGTCCCTAGACCACAGACACCTGCACCCAAGTCCCAACCTCACCGAACACTAAACCCTAAGCCCCTATATCTATATGGGCGGTTGTCAAAACTATGGTCCCTTTTTGTGTACCCTAAATAATAGGTGCCGTACTATAATAAGGACCCAAAAAGGGACCCTAATTTTGGCAACCACCCATATAAGCCCCTAAACCCTTGTCCTTTTAGAAATAATAAACAGAGCCCTCTACCTATATCCCCTAGTAGGAATTATTTCAGAAGGTCTACTAGCCGGTCTGTTTGTTCTTTTGGGGGAACCATGAAAAAGAACAATTCTGTGTCAACTCCCCCAAACCCTAAACCCCTAAACCCTAAACCCCTAAACCCTAAACCCCTAAACCCTAAACCCCAAAACCCCTGAACCCTAAACCCCTGAACCCTAAACCCCAAAACCCCTGAACCCTAAACCCCTGAACCCTAAACCCCTAAACCCTAAACCCCTAAACCCTAAACCCCTAAACCCTAAACCCCTAAACCCCTAAACCCCTAAACCCTAAACCCTTAAACCCTAAACCCCTAAACCCTAAACCCCTAAACCCTAAACCCTTAAACCCTAAACCCCTAAACCTGGCCTGGATCAAAGTGGGGCCGGTCCACCAGGAGAGCTTGGGTTCCTTTCGCTCGAGCATGTTCTCACCTGGCAGTTTTTTTTTTTTTTTTTTTTTTTTGGGGGGGGGGGGGGGGGGGGGCGGTTCTGGGTTTAGGGTTTTGGGGTTTGGGATTGCAAGGTTTGGGGTTTTAGGGCTTGGGGTTTAGGGTTTTTTTTAAACCGTTTGGGATTCAGTCTTATCGCTCTTAAATCGAAGAGTTCTCGTCTTGTAGGGATGCACATGGCTTACGCAGAGTTTAGACAACAAGGTTCAGGGATTCGAGTGGTGTATTTTGAGAATTGTGTCTTACCAGGTTGTGGGCATCTTTATAGTATCATGATAATAAGGAGCCTAAGAATACTGATGATAATCATCTCGGCTTCTTTATTAAGGCCAGAACCTGTTGGTTTCGGCAAGGTGCAGAACTTGAGCGCAGCTTTACTAGGACCGTATGGTCCAGGCGATGGAGCTTTCGGATTGGAGATCGCGCTTCTTACCTTTGGTTAGTAGGGAATGGAGGAATGGGGTACTATTACTACCATTCTTCCATTCCCTACTATAACCAAAGGTAAGGCTTCAGAATGTCCAGGGTTTTGAGGAGGTTCGCATGTGGGCTTCGGGTTTAGGATGGTGTTTTGGGTTGAGGGTCTCGGTGCTTGCCCGTTCCGCAATCACGCCTCTAAAGGATTAGGTCTACACGAAGCCCGGAACTCGAAATTCCTGGACCAGGAACCACCATGCCTCCAAAACTTGCTTGGAGTCTGCCAAAGCAAACCGGGCACTCTAAACCCTAAACGCTGAAGCCCTAATGCCCACACTCGAAACAGCAAAGTCTCACCTTTCGAGCACGGAAGGCTATGAGCGGTAGCGTGGCTATCCCACGACCTCGAAATTCCCTGCACTGGATGCCATCATTAAAAGTCGATGCCTACCTACCAGATCCTACGTGCCGGCACCAGCATCGGCACCAGCACAAAACATCTAACAAATCTTCGAGAGGCTTCTTGCCTGGCACCGGCCCACTGAAGCAAGCGAATCATCTCGACATTACCAGAAACAACAGCCCTGTGCAAAGCTGTGCGCCCTCTGTTGTCTGCCACATTAGCGTGCGCACCTGCTTCCAGCAGCGAGCGGACGATATCGAGACGACCTGCTTCGGATGCGAACATCAGCGCTGTTTGACCGCTGTTGTCTGCCACATCCTTGTTGGCCCCTGCCTCCAACAGCGAGCGAACAATTTCGATGTGTCCTTTGCTGGATGCCCAAACCAAGGCGGTCCGGCCATCCATGTCTCTCAGATCCTTATGGGCACCTGCTTCCAGCAGCAAGCGGACGATTTCGCCATGACCTCCAATGGATGCCCTGTGCAAAGCTCTGCGGCCGTCGATTCCTGCTGGATCCTTCTTGGCTCCTGCTTCTAGCAGCAAGCGAACGATTTCGAGATGCCCTGCATCGGATGCCCTCATCAAAGATGTGCGGCCGTCGAAACCAAACACATCCGCATTGGCACCTGCTTCTAGCAGCAAGCGCACGATTTCGAGGTGACCGTAATCGGCTGCCATCGTCAAAGTCCATACCACGTCCCCATTGGCACATGCATCCAGCAGCAAGCGGACGGTTTCGAGGTGACCTGAAGTCGATGCCATGTGCAAGGCGTCTGTCATACGCTTGCTGGCACCTGCTTCTAACAGCAAGCGGACGGTTTGGATGTGACCTCCCTTGGATGCCCGCATCAGAGGTGTGCAGCCGCTTACGTCAAGCAAGTCTGGATCTAGAGGAAGCTGCAGCATGGCCTCAACCTTTTGGCTAAAGCCTCGCTCGGCTGCGGCTGCTAGCTGGCTGACCTGCCATTGGGAAGCTTCAGCAAACGGCAACAGCACGAGATCCAAGTGCATGGGTGAATGTAACGTTGCCGTCTCCTCCAGTATCTCGCCGTCGAGGAGGAGCCTCTGTCTAAATCTTGGCACCAGGCCATGCGAGTGACTCAAGTGCTGCTTCAAGCCCTTGATGTCGCAGAGGTCCTCCAAATCTTCTGCAGGTATGGTTGTCAGCACTTCTCCGGAAAGCTTCCAAACTTCCAACATCTTGCCGAAGCGCGAACCTGGTAGGACCGAAGCTAATCCACAGCTGCTAAAACATAGACACAGCTCAGCCTACAACACGCAGCGCACTATCCTGCATGTGTGGATCGGACACTTGAGTCAAGGCCGAATCATTCAGGATTTGTGTATGGGGGTTGGGTGGCTAGGACTTAGGGCTTGTAGGGGCTAATTAGGGGTCTAGGGTTTCGCCATGCTGTCAGTTCGTTACTGAAATCATCAGGGGGGCCGCTATCAGTTCACAATCAACAGAAGACTGACAAGTTTCATTACTGTTGATGGACAAAATCCTGCATTACCCATTACAAGGGTTATACAATAATTCCCATAGCTTAGAGTCCTTAGGGTCATGCAGGATTTTTTCCATCAGCAGTATGAAGCCTCGGAGAGAAACAGGAACCGGAGCCGAGGCGCCACCCTACCAAGAGGGGTGCTTACTAACGGGGCCTTAATGATTCGAATGGGGCTTCGGGGCACTTTATATATTATACTACTTATCAGGACCCCCCAAAATAATATAGGAAATTCTTCAGGATTAAGGCCACTATAGTACACTGCCAGTGCTCACTAGCAGGTGTGAACACCGAAGGTCCACAGGGTCAGGGCCCAGGATTTCGGCTGGGGAGCTTTGGGTTTAAGCAGTTTTTTTCAGCTTCAGGAGTCTCAAGATGATGTTTTAATACTTTAACCATGGGCCCCAAGGTAGTTCCTTTTTGGGACTACCTCATAGGATTCTATATATGAACCCCAAAAAGGACCTACTATTGGGCCTTAGGGTAATGTTTGGTTAATAAGTAAATACCTCTGTACCCAATCATAAGCCAAACTTCTCGTTATGAACCCTCAACCCTTTCCCCACTGCCGCCTGAGAATCCGCTGAGCGGCACGTACTGGACGCCTCGGAATCCACAGCACTCCAGTACAACGCAGTCCGGTTCAAGAACTTCCACACGGAGACAACTGCATATGTCTAAGGCATGGTCACGACAGAACCTACACTAGGGACCTGAATACTGAGACTAGGGCTTTGAGGACAAAATTTACTATAAATATATCCCCCAAAATAGTCTAGGTAATTATGTAAAGACCCCTATATGAAAGTTGAACAAGGGGTGGGGATCTTCTGTCTATACGGAGCTAGGGCTGAAGGCTTGCAGGTTTAGGGTCGTATATACCTGGACCCTAACAGGCATGTAGCACAATAGCCTTTTATAGGTAATGGGCTTACTCTGGGGAGGGTTTAGGTAGCCCCTAAATCTGCATAACACCTCCGAAACTATAAACCCCTAGACAACTCCTTCAGACCTCATAAGGCCATGGAGGCTCGGCACATCCTGTGCTCGAAGCGTAGACTCAAAACCCTACACAGCCCTGTACAGGAACCTTGAAAGTAACCCTTTCAGAAATCCTAAAAGGACCCCTTCGTAGGGCACGGTTTAATTTTGTTGTGTTTGTTTGGATTGTTTGTTTGGATTGTGGGATCCTTCAGGGAGTTGGGTCATAAAACCTGGTAATCTGGAACTTTCCCTAGCCCTATTAACCCTAAACCCTAGTAGTCTGTACGGTTGCACAAGTCTCCCAAGAATCCCTTGTACCCTCGAACCACACCCCTGCACTAACTCAAGGATGCTATCAAACAGACCGAAGGAAAAATCTTATGCCCTCTGAAGCAGTAACTCGCCCCAACAGCTTGGGAAATTTACACCCGAAAAGCTGCTAGTGCT